TAATATATATAGTTGATGTATGAGTTATGATGCTTGATGATGTGTGCAATATATATAGTTGATGTATGACGTTCTTGATATGCTATATGTATTTTATGGCAATATGATAAGTATGATGATTGCATGAGGTTTGTCCTAATATGTTGATGTTTTTCATATTAAGCATGTTATATGATGATGAGTGTCATATTATATCATGTCGATAGACCGATATATGATAGAACCCTAAGAGCATGAAAATGATATTAATATAAATATCCAACGAGCATGTGTTGTTAGGTTATGGAATCTGAGCATGTGTTGTTAGGTTATGGAATCTGCTGCTTATTTATAGCTGAGTCAACGATTATACATAGTAAAGCTATATATGGTAAATAGTTATATATAGTAGATGGTTATATCTGATGAAGCTAAATATAGTAAGGTAAACTATATATATATCCCCTCGGGCAGAGCTTTGAAAATGTACTTTCTATTCTCTGTATTCTCTCTTATACATACTCATCAATACAAATTCTTTTAGCCAGAGTTCTCCTTGCAATTTTCTCTATCCTGTTCTTTGTGTTCATCTAGATTGAGTGTGTGCGTTGTTGTGTGATCCCAACAACTAGTATCAGAGCTAGGCGAAATTCACAACGATCTGTGAAGATGGAAAATTCAAAGATTGAAATTGAGAAGTTCGATAGATCCGATTTCGGTTTCTGGAAGATGCAGATTGAAGATTATCTGTACCAGAAAGATCTTCACGAACCCCTGTTGGGGGTGAAGCCGGATACCATGACCACGGAACAGTGAAAGCTCAAGGATCAACAAGCCTTAGGGCTGATTCGATTGACGCTATCCAGAAACGTGGCGTTCAACATTATCAAGGAGAAGACAACGTCAGATCTATTGAAGGCGCTGTCAAATATGTATGAAAAATCGTCGGCTATGAACAAGGTGTATTTGATGCGGAGATTGTTCAATCTACAAATGTCTAAAAGTGGATCTGTTGCTGATCATATAAATGAATTCATTATGATCGTAAGTCAAGTTCGGTAGAAATTAATTTCAAAGATGAAATTAAAGCATTGATTTTGATGTCATCTTTACCCGAGTCGTGGGATACTGTTGTTGCCGCAATCAGCAGTTCGCGAGAATCTGATAAACTGAAGTTTGATGAAATTTGAGATGTAGCTCTCAACGAAAGTATTCGCAAACGAGAAATTGAAAATTCATCTGGTAGTGCTCTCAGTGTTGACCAACGGGGAAGAAGTAAACCGAAGGGCCCAAACAAAGGGCGATCAAAATCAAAGAATTGAGAAAAATCTCTAAATAGACCAAACGTAACGTGTTGGAATTGTGGAGAAAAAGGTCACTTTCGGACAGGTTGTACAAGACCAAAGGGGAAGCAGAATCACAAATCTGGAGATGATGGTGATTCTATAAATTCAGCAGAAGACATTGGGGATACTCTAATCCTTAGCGTGGATAGTTCGATTGAATCCTAGACTTTTGGATTCAGGTGAATCTTTTCATTCATCTCCAAATAAAGAGTTGTTCCAGAATTTCAAGTCTGGAAATTTCGAGAAGGTGTATCTTGCCGACAACAAAGATTTGGAGATTAAAGGAAAAGAAGATGTCTACATAAAAACTTCAGCAGGAAATCAGTGGACATTAAAAGATGTTAGATATATTCCTGGTCTCAAGAAGAACTTGATCTTATTGGTCAGTTGGACAGCACAGGTTATGCAACAAAGTTAGGGAAGAGTTTGTGGAAGATTATGAAGGGTGCTATGGTGGTAGCACGTGGCTCAAAATCTAGAACCTTATACACCACTACAGTTGGAGGATACAACCAAGTAGGAGAAAGCCATGGATGATGGGACGTCTAGGCTTCAAAAATGCGTTGTACTGAGGCTGAGTACGTGGCAATAGCTGAAGCTGGAAAGAAGACGATATGGATGATTGACTATCTGGAAGAATTGGGCAAGAAGCAGCATGAAAAGATTTTTTATAGAGATAGTCAGAGTGTCATACAGTTGGTGAGGAACCCGGTCTATCATTTAAAGATAAAACACGAAAGGCGATACCATTTCACTTGCAGGTTAGTGGAAGATGATGATGTGTATTGAAAAGATAGAGGGTGCAAAGAATCCAGCAAACATGTTAACAAAATGTGTTGATGTTGGAATATTGAGGTTGTGCAAAACCTCAATTGGTATGGTGCAGTGAAGATATTCATGATTGTTTGAGAATGAAATTCTTGGTTGACTGAATTAGTCTGCAAGTGGGAGAATGGTTAGGTTATGGAGCCTACTGCTTATTGATAGCGGAGTCAATGATTATACATAGTAAAACTATATATGGTAAATAGTTATATATAGTAGATGGTTATATCTGGTAAAGCTAAATATAGTAAGCTAAACCATATATATATCCCATCGGGCAGAGCTTTGAAAATGTACTTTCTATTCTCTGTATTCTCTCTTATACATACTCATCAATACAAATTATTTTAGCCAGAGTTTTCCTTGCAATTTTCTCTATCCGGTTCTTTGTGTTCATCTAGATCTAGTGTTTGCGTTGTTGTGCGATCCTAACATCTTAGTACTTCCAGGTGAAACGTATAAGATGTATCATGGGCTTCCGTCATAATATCCTTTACGATTCTCTCGTCTCGGGGAACGCACAGGCAATCTTGTCACTGCATGCCCCCATCTGAAGAGATAGAATACCCAGTTGGTCTCTTCGCTTCATTCTGACTCCACACTTTGTTGAGGTGTTCATCAGACCTCTGGGCATTAATGACATGTTTTCTTAGTGTGAGTTGCATGGTCATCTGTGCTACTTGAGCGGAGCCACCTTTAACCACAACATCTATCCTAGCGATCTTTAACTCATCTTGTCATTTCTCTTGCTTGGTGATCATCGCAGAAGTATGAATGATCTTCCTTCTCAATGCATCAGCTACAACATTGGCTTTGCCTGGATGGTACAGGATCTCTATATCGTAATCCTTTACCAATTCCAATCATCGTCTTTGTCTCATATTGAGCTCCTTCTGCGTGAACAAGTACTTGAGACTCTTGTGATCGGTGAAGACTTGAACTTTGTCCCCATACAGGTAATGTCGCCACGTTTTCAAAGCAAATATTACTGCTGCTAACTCAAGGTCATGCATGAGATAGTTTTGTTCATATTTCTTCAATTGTCTAGAGGCATACGCTATCACCTTACCCTTCTGCATGAGCACACACCCTAAACCTTTCCCTGATGCGTCACTCTACACCATGAAGTTGCTTGACCCATCTGGAATTGTGAGGACTAGTGTTGTCACCAACCTCTCCTTAAGTTCCTGGAAACTTTGTTCATAAGTGTCCAAACAAAGGGCTTGCTCTTCTTGGTTAATTGAGTTAGCGTTGAAGATAATTTGGAGAAATCTTGGATGAACCTTCTGTAGTATGTAGCTAGCCCTAGAAAACTCCTCACTTTAATGACTTTGGTTTGCCTTGGCCACTTCATCATTACTTCTATCTTAGCTAGGTCCACCGTGATCCCTTTACTTGACACCACATGACCTAAAAAAGCCACTTTAAATAGCTGAAACTAACACTTGAAAAACTTTGTGTACAACTATTGGGCTCTCAGTACGGTCAGGACTTTATTTAGGTGTTCCCTCATGCTTTGTCTCTAACTTAGAGTATACCAGAGTATCATCAATGAAAACTATAACAAAAGTGTCTAAGAATTCCTTAAACACCCTGTTCATTAGTTCCATGAAGACGGCTGGTGCATTGGTAAGGCGAAAGAACATAACAAAGAACTCGTAATGCCATAACGAATTTTGAAGGCCGCCTTGGATATCTCCTCTTCTCTGATCCTCGGCTGATTATATCCCGACCTCAAATCAATTTTGGAGAAAACTGTTGCTCCCTATAGTTGATCAAACAAGTCGTCAATCCTCGGGAGGTGATACTTGTTCGTTATGGTGACCTTATTCAGCTCTATGTAATCAATACATAGACGCATAGACTCGTCCTTTTTGACAAACAGAACAGAGGCACCATAGGGTGATACGCTGGGTCGAATGAAACCTTTGTCCAAAAGCTCCTCTAACTATTCTTTCAACTCCCTGAGTTTTGTAAATGTCATCCTGTAGGGTGCCTTGGAAATTGACACGGTTCCTGGTTCTAGACCGATCTCGAAATCCACTCCCCTTATAGGGGGCAAACTTGGAAAATTCGAAGGGAAAACATCAACGAACTCCCTAACGACATGTACTGATGAGACTGTTTGCTCATTACTGTTGTCTAAGGTCATGCTGGCTATCGCTCATTACTGTTGTCTAAGGTCATGCTGGCTAAAAATGTACTTGCGACGCTAGCATTCAATATTGTAATGGCTTGGGGCACCCTTGGAAGTGGCTCTCTTGTATGCTTTCTCATTTCTTGTTAGATGAGCACTAAAAACTGACCGGTGGGAAGAAGATTAAAGTAGTGAAGAATTACCAAAACTTGAAAACAATTAACAGAGAAGCATTGATGGAGGAGAGAAAATGATGAATAAATAATCCTCGTCTTTGACCCCGTTTAGCTAACATGGAGAAATCTCTCCACTCTCTCCCTCATTCCCTATTTGAATAGAGATTTCTTCCTTGTTATGGACATCTCGGTTACTCATACTGAGTATAAGCGAAACCATTTAAATATTCATACCTATACTAACCTTCAAAAATTTTGAGATAACTTTGGGAGGATAGCGTTCCTCTTTTACTATCTTCAACAGTAAAAGTCTTCAACCGAGAAGTCAATCCTCAGATATTCGAATGAAGAATTCCACTAGAGTGATTTAAAGCCTTTCTCCCTTCGTATCTCCCGAAATCATGATTGTTTTTAAATTTATCACATATAGCTTTTCCGAGTGTAGTATCTGCCATGCCATCCATTCCACGAATCCTTGTAACACCATCAGCTGTTACGTGTAAGGGAAAGTTCGAAACTTGTATTTTAAGAATCAACTTCAACTGGGAAGTTCACTGCATGCAACATTGCATTGCAATATGATATGGCGGAAACTTCTTGAGCGAAGGATTTGGTAACATCCCTATGCCATTATCAACATCATACATAACAAAATATTATATATGAAAAGAAGCATAGTTTACTCAAAAAAACACAAGAAACCAAAAGCTCACTCACCGGCTTGACAATTCGTCTGAGTCATCAAAATCTGTATATATTAGGCCTCGCCCCTTCATATCATTTTTGGCTATCTCATGGACCTCAGTGAGATGGACACCACAGCTTTTTATAGTTATATTATCCTCGCGATGTTTCACAACTTCAAATCAGACTATAACATCATTCCAATCATTCGCAACTAAGGAGCTACTAAATGTTGGAGAAGAAGTTGTTACTAACCACCTATATTCTGATCTTGATGATGGAGCAGATGAATATGTTCAATGAAATTAAGGCTTCCCCTTGATATGAATCTCCATCCACTCTAAATTTAGCTTAGATAGCTAAAGTTCTTTCTATATTGTGATCATGTAGAAAACTAACCTTCATTGAATTTGATATAGTTTGGTGGCTAAACCATTATGGAATGTCTCTGTTCATTAGAAGAATCTCTCTAGAAAAGTTATCCAGTGTAATGTCCTATGACATAAGAATTAACATGCATGGAAATATTAATGAGAGAGAAAAATACAACATGAACAAAGAGAAATGAAATGAGAAGAGATGAACCTGCTTGCTTGATATTATATCCAAAACGTTGTCTAGACTTCTAACCAACGATTCACAACCACTGACATCCATTTTTTTCATACGCTGAAAAAGGTTTAGAATTTGTCGAAGAAACTTGCAGTTCCTCAAGGAGATAAACTTATGAAGATACGAGGGTAGAGTACCAATTTGTTTCTGGACAAGACTATACTATCTAATAAAGGAATCTATGTTGCAATATGGAACCTCCAACAAAGTCAACAGGAAAACATAGGGTTTTTGGGTTAGGGTTTTTGGGTAAGTTTCATTGATGTGAAGAAGAGCATAATATGGATGGGTTAGTCCCATCTATGGGGAAGCAATTCAAATCTAGAACACCCACCCAGACGAAGTTCTTGAAGATTTTGTAACAAATAAATTGTACTAGGAACGGAGATGAGGTTTGTGCAACCGTCAAGGTTTAATTTTATGAGCCCAATAAAGTTTTCAATTGATGAAGGTAGCTCCTTTTATGCCGGTATAATTCAAATGCAAGAACACTAACGATTTCATGTTTTCAGCAATTTTTGGAAACATTTCTAAGTTTAGTGCAAGGTACAAGACTATCAAAAAGATCCCATAAATTCATAATCACTTTGGAGTTTTCAAGATACAAACTTTTAAGATTTAAGAAAGTAGGAAAGTTCAAGCTTTTTGGAAGGAGCGAAATTCAAATATTTAAGAGAATCGAGTATAAGGTAGCTTAGAAGTCTTTCAAGGTTCAAGGTATCAAGTTCATTAATAGATCTATAAATTTTTTAAAGTTTAATCAGTGTGTTAGACGAACACGACTCTCCACAATGAGCTCTTATGACTTTGCTTTGGGCTTCTCCAAAAGACCTCGTACCAATGCAGATGTATTCTTTTATTTATAAACTCATGATCATTTCCTAAATTAGCCAATGTGGGATTCACTCCCAACAATCCTCAACATCACCAACATCTCATACAAAGACTTTTCAATCTACATACCAAATGTTGGTGTACAACTACTCGAAAACCAACTAGTTGCATCATATATATTTCTTCTTTCAAATCTCCATACAAGAAACAATTTTTACATCGAGTTGTGCAAACTCAAGATTAATTGAGCAACCAAAGCCAATAAAATTCGAAAATATAGAGATAATTGAATTCTTGAAAATGTGATTTCCAAGAACAAATAAGCAAGCTTCCAATGAGAAGCTTATCTTCAATAATTGATGGTGAGTGTGAATATGTCTAGTGGTTGATGAGGTTAAGTCTTTCACGATATTTCAAATTCACAACCTGGCCCTCTGATACCACTTGTTGTGCATACCACTTGTTGTATCCTAATGCCACAACCTTCAATGCTCTGATACCACTTGTTGGTAAATGAAACTAGACAAATATAAAATGGTAATGCTGCACATCTAAATCAAATACCACTAGACAGACCTTTATATAGTCATAACAATATTAATGTTCATGCATGAATTAAGATATCCATGTATCAAAATGAGAATATAAACAAATATGATTAAGAACTAAATGACCGTTAATAACCAAACTAAGTGAGGATATAAACGTTATGAACTAACTAGAGTTATGACAATATACCTTCCCGAGAACTTACAACAAAATTTCCTTCCATAAAACTCATTGTCAACTGTCTTAAAAAAAATTGATATAATCATCTTATGGATGATTTTCTATTCCAAAGAAGCATGTCTACTAAAAAGCTTTACAACTTTGTGGGAGATTTTAAGGGTCTTTCTAACATTTCCATGCATTTCTAACGAGTCTACTCTCATGTAATGTCTTTTACATATCCATCCTTGAATTTTTTACACAATTCAACTGACCATCTCCATCACCCATATCCTTCGGATAGTCAAATCTACACCCATAGTAAAAAAACTGTGCGATATTCTTGGGAAGACAGTAATCCTTGTGATACTACATCCACCTGCAATGTGTCATTCATTTCAATAAACCCACCACAATAATTTAAAGCCTTTCTCCCATAGGAATCATCCATTAGTTTATCAAATATAGATTTGGCGAGTGTGGTCTCTACCATGCCTTCCATGCCACGTATCATTGGTATTGGGTTTTATGCCCTAAAACTCATAGTTTGTAAACAAAAACATATTTTATTTTCAATAAAGTTATTATTGTTGTTTATTCAGTAAAAATTGTTATTAAATAAAGTGAACTTTACGATCATTCATCTAAATCCAATAAATTAAGAACACTTTGGCTATAGTATGATTAGTTGAACTATATGTAGAGACATAAGAGTTGATCAAGTTCAAGTATATAGTCAAAATGATCTATAGTATAAGGATAAGGCTGAGCACTTTATTCTGAGGACACTATGGATGCAGCCAACTTTTGTATATGACATAAACAATGTGATCACTAAAATTGTACATGTGGAGACATGTGAGTGGGGGCGTCCTATGCAATGAGTATTGCTTAAGATTGGACCATGAAGAAAATCACTCTCACTTTATAATGTCGTTTACTATTGAAACTGATTTTCTTTTCCTTCGATGACCTAGGTAACTCGATCTTAATCCTGAGCTAACCATGAACTCCTGTTTATTCGGAATTATCCTTAGATTTGCATGGGTGAAAGTGGCTCAAGTTCGCCGACTCAATAGGCCTCCCATTTTAGGGGTAAGACTGGGTAAATGGCTGGGGACGTGGGGTGCAAGATGAAATTCACTCCTACCCACTTTTAGGTATAGAAGAGAGGTAGTTCCTTTAAGTATTGACTCCCGGTCTTGAACAAGGGGCCCCACCCTCTCATTGGCCTGAGAGGGATTTGGTTTACTGGTTGGACCACAAACCAATTGTTCATTAGAGGATCAGTGAGACATAAGAAATAAGAAGTAACTTCAGGGGTAAAATGGTAAATTGACCTAGCTCTAGTTACAAACAACCTGTGAATGATCAACTTATTAATCATGGTTATATCAAATGGACAGAAATATATCTATAGTGAGGGGAGTGCAACTACTAGGCTATAGTGGAATGTCCTAGTAGTTAACGAATGTTGGTTAACAAGGTTAATGAGTTTAACCAGTTAATCTTGGATCGTTGGAGCCCATGATCTATAGGTTCATTAGGTTCCTCTGCTAGCTCATATCGGACTAAACCATAGAACAGTGTGACGAGTGAGTTCGAAGTGTTCGAATTCAAATTAGGGAAAATGCACTACATATATACGATATATTTAACCGTATTTTTGTTTTATTTACGAATTAAACAAAAAGAGAGAATCCGAGATATTTAAATAAGATTTAAATATCTTAATCAAATATGTGTCGGAATTAATTGAGATTGGCATTTGAATTAATATTAAATATTAATTAAATAGTTTAATTAATAATTTAATATTACTTTAATTTGAAATTTATAATTCATATTGATTGTTGAATAAAAATGAAGAAAGTCAAAATGTTGACTTCATTTAATGAAAAAATCTATGTTAGTGGAATTTTGTGTGTCAAAATTTGGTTAACTCAAGCAAGTATGCATGCTTGCCACATAATCCGAAACATTTGAGTTGAATTTTGAGTGTCAAAATTTGGTGATTTCAAATTTGATGAACATGCAAACATGACTCTATAAATAGAGTGATCATAAAACATGAAAGATCTTCTTCTTTTTCTCACAAACATTCTCTTCATATATACAAAATCCCTCCCAAGTTTAGTCACTCATAGGATTCCACAATCCCATTCTAAGGCCGGAGAATAGTGGAGAAGATACTAGTGGTGGTTCGAAACCGGTTCGTGAAGAAAAAGGAATTTGAACTACAAAATGTTAGTATTCAAACTCATTAAGTTTTAATACTTATGAACATGCTAGTTATTTACTATAATTGAGTGTTGTCTCTACCATGCCTTCTATGCCATGTATCATTGTAACGCCATAACATGTTACGTGTAAGGGAAAGTTGGTAAGTTTTATTTTGGAATCAATTTCAGTTTGGAAGTTATCCACATGCAACATTGCTTTGCAATCTGATCTTGCGAACACCTCTTGAGAGAAGGATTTGATAACATCCCTATGCCATTATAAGTATGGGTGAGTGGTTCAAATTTTAATATTGTTACTTACCTAAGTTACCATATTCCATCCTTAACTATTTTTATGGGTATATTTTATCTTAGGTTATCATATTCTCATCATAAACCAGTCATTCTGATATGAAAGTTAAATGTCCCTGATTTCAAAAGGTAGCCTCCTAATCTCCATCTAGGTCTTGAATTGACTAAAGATATTCTCAATCATTCTCCTAAACCGAGAACTGTGGTTGACAAACTGTTATCGGACGTCCAATAACAAGACTAACATTATAAGCATCCACAAATTTCTCACCAAAGCTTAAAGTGGCATGTTGAAGATATTTGTATTTTCTTTTACAACCTCTCAAGTGATTAAGAGCACCGATCTTGGTATTCTTTAAATGTCAAAATTTCATTTAGGGTGGAATTAGTCAAATCTAGCTTCAAAGCTCGAATGTTTATTTAACACATCTTTATTATATTCATCACTCTCATCAGCCAAGATATTCACTTTGTTCCAATCAAATTCCAATTAAATTAAATGGGACCAATTACCAACCCTAGCATAAATCATTTATCATGAACCAAAAAGCAACTCTTCAAGTTATGAGATGAGCCATTTCCGTGGTAGGCTAA